GACAAAGGACTCAGAAACCAAAATGATCACCTTCTTGGAGACAACATTCCACATTTCAGATTTTTATTATTTTGCACTGTTTAGATATTTTAACACTGTCAAAACTACAATAACTAACAATGTAGCTATTTGAAACAAAAAATATTACTAAAATTACACCAGATTAAGACGTTCTTAGTTACCAAAGTAGCTTAGGCTTTTGAGTTTTCACAAATACATACAAACAACTGACAAGACATAGACACCTTTATTTCTAAAATATATGAATAGAAAAAAGTAAAACATGAGCTTCACATTAACCATTGACTCCCAGAGCTTTTTGCCAAAAACCCAGTTTTTGGACATTTTGGAGGTTTTCAGGCTGGATATGGGCCAAATTAGCTCCAATCTGTCTGTCTGATTATCCCATGCTTATGCAAAAGCTGATTAACATCTTATCGCAACTAAAATTACTAATTTAAAACATTGACGTATCCAAAAGCCCTTACCCTACGGGTATGAAATCCACATCTGCATGAACCAAACCTAAAGACTTCTGTAGTTCAGCTACCTTGACCATTTCATGAAGAAGATTAAGTAGAGTCTTCTCTCCTGTTTGAGTTAACAACATTAGATGTAACATGAGTTCAACCAGAATACAACTACTATACATGTAATTAAATAACACCAATACAAAACTTTCAATAAGTCAGTTTTACTGAATTTGATGTTTAATACAAATTAACATCCACTGAGTTTTGCTGAAACAACTTGACTGCCCACTCTCAGTTTTTACCTACTTTGACTACATTCCACATAACAATTATACTATGCAATGCAATGCAATACAATATCTTTATTTCACATTCTACAATTACCGGTATATCAAAAATACAATATACGTATATTTAGAAGTGAAATAAGTAGTTAATTAAAAATTATTATAGAAACAAAGGATTTTTCACAGAGCATACCTAGATATGTTTCTCCTAGATTAGAGATGGGAGCTGAAGCATTAAAAAACTGTTCAAAAGAGAAAAATAAACAAAGAGTGATTCTAAAGAATGTAGAGCTGACCAATACCTTAGAAAACACTCTATCTCACTATCACTCTAAATAAGATGTAAGAAATCTGTATGTACGCTGTGATAGATTGAAAACTTTTTTTTTGTAGACCTCACAAAAAAACTTTAACCAAACAAAATTATGTACTTATAATATACGTTTGGCTAGGTACCGGTAGTAACATTGCATAGGGTATAACTGACTGTATGACATTTCACTAGATTTTGTTGCATCTATTTCATTATTAATTAAAGGAAATATCTCAAGACGATACCTTCTGCTTCACATAAAAGTTTGAATTCTCTCAAACTTTCTAATGTGTTTACATAAGGCAAGGTAACTGTGATCCTCATATGCCATCTATTTATTGCTAATAACTTGAAACAGAAAACTAGGTTTTTAGCATACTTTTACAAATGGAAAATACTATTAATGGCAACTTTTTAGGGAGTCACACAACAGAGTCCTTGAAAGGACCAATATAGACAAGGTTCCTGCAAGGTAATAATACCAGCTGCATTCAAATACTAAATCACGCATACCTTTACAGACGGATAACCTTCTATGTTATAATGGACACAAGTGGCGAGATTACGTTCTTCTGCACAATCAATAGCAGCAACATGTATAAGCTGTCTCCAGTCTAAAGCAAATCAATTAAATTTTATAATTAATATCAACATGGAGACTATAAAGAACAATGAGTGAAAAACACACAGTACTAACCTAAAAGAAATTTCACTGAACCCAAAGAAATACTGCTGGGAAAAATTCTCAAATCCAAATTTCAACTTCTCCAAATAATCCTTCAGAGTTTCATGTCACATTAAATCTAAAGATCTCTCACCCCAGGGAGTAGCACCTTCCTACCAAAGTAGAAACTTTTCATAAAGTATTTGCACTATGTATGAAACATTTCTAAAAGATGTAAATCATGACCTAAGTAGAAATTTCCAAAGAGAAATAAATATATTGATTCAATTGAGGCCTTGAGCTACTGTACTGTATTTTAATTCCAAGCTTTTGCCGTTCTAGGGCATCATCAGGGAATGAAAGAAAATATTCTATAGAGCATGCTATAAAAGTGGTGTACAGTAGGTGATGCAAATGATAGAATTCAAAGAGAAAGTTTGATCTTTTTGATTGACAGAAGAACCTAGACAGAACTTATCTGTTCTAAGTTGGCAAACTCTTTTTGTACTGTTGTGAGGGATTCGAGAAGGGAATGTCTGTGTAGTTTTGCTCCTCTGGTATAGAGACTGGAATATCTCTTAAATACATATGATATCATTCACACCTTTTGGCAAGTCTAGGTAAAAAAAACATATCAGGCCAGAACTTACTATGACACATCTGGTCTCCATACAGCTTAACCCACTGACACCTGGAGATTTTTCGCAAAAACACATGTTTTGGACATTTTATAGGCCAAATTAGCTCCAATCTACTCAAAAAGGCATGCCTTTCTTTCCCCTGGCATCACATTTTATGACATTTTTGCTCGGGCATATGCAGAAATCAAAATTTTGAGATTCTTTGGACGAGAAAGTGACCTACATCTTAAAGCTGTTCGGTTTTTTAAATTGTTTTGTCGCCTTTTCTTTTTCTCCTTTTCTTATCTTTTTGCCGCAGTTGTTGACCTTCTTCTGGGCTTGCTTCCAGTTCAAGAATTTCTGAGAAAGCATCATTGAGACAGGAAATTTTTACCACAGAGTAGCCAGGCATAATCGAGGGAAATTTTGCTCTGAGCCTTTCCCTCAAATTTCTGAGCGTTTTTTTTTTTACACATTTTTGGCTCTATTAACCCAATCACTCTGATCTCGGTATCACTGGAAAGATCTTTTCCTCCTACAGAATCTGAGTATAAGTGATGCTAGGTGATAACGTCAGAAGTGGAACAAAGGCCAATGCTAGTCACAGGCGGTTACAGCCGGCACAGTCAATGGGTTAAAGTGATTGGAAGTGTCTTACTACTGCTCCTGGATGGTATGCCCCTGTATGGTTGCCTCCCATATTCACCCCCCATTATTTTATCAGGTTTCCCTACCAATTCACAGGAACACATGGATACTCTTGAGTGGAGATAAGCTACAGTAGCCTCTTCTAATGCTCAAACCCGTATTACAAGATCTGGAGTTCTGTGCACTAACCATGATTGGCCAAGCTATTATTCACTATGATGCGAAAATTTGATTATGAGCTCAAGATTTCTATGAGGTGATAGCTGAGTCAGCTATCACATAATAGAAATCCAGAGCAAATAATCAAATCACTCAATAAGTAGAATTCTAACTAAATTTTCTTCAAATAATAATTTTCCCTGGACACGAAATATTGACTTGGCACATGGTCTGGATTGCTGTGTATACAAGCTTAACCATTCAGTCATTTTTGTTTTGTCTTTGCTCTTGTTCTTTTTTTTTTTTTTTTNTCAGTTCAAAGTTAGATACTGGTAGCGATAATTAAAGTTTCCCCTTACTGCCTTAGGAACTCACACTGGGTTCCTCCCTGTTTCCAACTTCTTGAAATTGTTACCTTTTTCTTAGGAACTAACATTGGGTTCCTCCTTGTTTCCAGCTTCTTTAAATTCTTACCTTTTTCTTAGGAACTAACACTGGGTTCCTCCCTGTTTCCAGCTTCTTGAAATTGTTACCTTTTTTTAGGGACTAACATTGGGTTCCTACCTGCTTCCAGCCTCTTGTTTTTTCTTGTCCTCTGCTCCATGCAATGTCTTGTAGAACTTCATGGCGTCAGTTACTTCTGAAAGTTCTGGAGGAGGCCTGACCACCACACAAAGTTCTTCTAAAGCTCTCTTGAAACTAGCATGAGTCTTTTCATTGCTGTGCAAAAAGTTTACAAGTTTTTTGCAGACTGAGGGACGGGATAATTACAGGAGTGCAAGTGTAACAGTAAAAACAACAAGGGAAATTAAAACAACTAGAAGCTTGTGGTGGTGTATATGTTTTAAATAAATATTGCACCAACTACATTGTGCTGATTTAACCCCTTGAGAGAAAGGGACATCCATACTTAATGGGCAGGGATGCTTTCCACCTCAAAATGGGCTGGAAAATGCACAATATATTCTCATTTAAGGTGTTCAGAATAGAACACTAACTTTGAATTTTGTCATGACTGCTAAGGCTAGAATTTAGCCAACTCTTAGGTTATTTCAGGTAGCCAGCCCCTATATCATTTTGTTTTTACCCTTAACTGTATCATTGTAATTTCTAACTCTGGGTTGAAATAAAAATTTTTGTTGTTTGCCCTACAACTCCAATAGCACAAGCAAATTTTAACTTACTAGGAAAGTTCTTGAAATGTGCCTCTTCGGTGGATAACAATGACAGATGGAAACTTTTTTACTGAATATTTTTCAACCATAATTTTCTGAAAAAGAAGAGTAAAATAATCAACTAACAGTTGCCACAAAAATAACTTGATTTTTTTGATTGCATCATCTTCCTACACAGTCAAAATACAGCATAACAATGGAAAGTGATCAAATGTAATTTGTAACGATACTCACATTTTGATTCAAGACTCTTCTGACTCCCAAACGTGGGCATTTTATCATATCTAACATAACCTGGGAAAAGTGGGAACATATATAGAAATGTTTTGGTCCACAAAAATGCTAAACAGTAGAATTCAGATAATATTAATACTAATGCGAATGTTAGAATCTGAGTGGCTAAGCTATCACACACTATCAGCCATTACTGGTATGTGTGGTTCAATTCTAGCTGTCACCATCCCCCCTGGTACCTCTCAAGGAAAATCTCGCCCCTCAGGTCTGGGGGATGGGGAATTTTTCAAGTATTTTTGTTCCAGCAGTAGAAGGAAGAGCAAAAAGAAATATGTACATGTGCAAGGACTAATGGACCACGTAATGTCTACTAACCTTGTGGAGTTTTAAGAAAATAAAACTGACTCAGTAGAACAAAAATATCGAAAGTTAGCTAATTAAAAATCATAGACAAGTAAAGGAATCAGTGACAATATCCAATGGAGTATGTTTTCAGGGCTTTTCTCCGGAAGAAAATAGTTCAATCAATATTTTCAAGGAAACAAAAAACAAAAAAAATTGAAAAATTCTATTTGTTCTCAGTGGTGGCACAGAATTATTACTGAACATTTGCTTGTCTGCCTTGTAGTAACACCCACCGTTCCACACCCTCAAACTATGGTACCCTAAATCATACTACACACAAGCTGTTAGTTCTACACAAGGTGATGCAAATGATGAGCCAAGTCAATGCAATATCCAATCAACTCACCTCACGGCCAATATATGAAGTTGGTACCTCAAAAATCAATGCTAGCTCATCATATGGTGTTCTGCCTTCCAGAAAATTGGTCACAAATTCATTCCTTTGAACAAAATTATAAAACACATTAACATAAGAAAAGTGCTTTTAGACAAAGGACTCAGAAACCAAAATGATCACCTTCTTGGAGACAACATTCCACATTTCAGATTTTTATTATTTTGCACTGTTTAGATATTTTAACACTGTCAAAACTACAATAACTAACAATGTAGCTATTTGAAACAAAAAATATTACTAAAATTACACCAGATTAAGACGTTCTTAGTTACCAAAGTAGCTTAGGCTTTTGAGTTTTCACAAATACATACAAACAACTGACAAGACATAGACACCTTTATTTCTAAAATATATGAATAGAAAAAAGTAAAACATGAGCTTCACATTAACCATTGACTCCCAGAGCTTTTTGCCAAAAACCCAGTTTTTGGACATTTTGGAGGTTTTCAGGCTGGATATGGGCCAAATTAGCTCCAATCTGTCTGTCTGATTATCCCATGCTTATGCAAAAGCTGATTAACATCTTATCGCAACTAAAATTACTAATTTAAAACATTGACGTATCCAAAAGCCCTTACCCTACGGGTATGAAATCCACATCTGCACGAACCAAACCTAAAGACTTCTGTAGTTCAGCTACCTTGACCATTTCATGAAGAAGATTAAGTAGAGTCTTCTCTCCTGTTTGAGTTAACAACATTAGATGTAACATGAGTTCAACCAGAATACAACTACTATACATGTAATTAAATAACACCAATACAAAACTTTCAATAAGTCAGTTTTACTGAATTTGATGTTTAATACAAATTAACATCCACTGAGTTTTGCTGAAACAACTTGACTGCCCACTCTCAGTTTTTACCTACTTTGACTACATTCCACATAACAATTATACTATGCAATGCAATGCAATACAATATCTTTATTTCACATTCTACAATTACCGGTATATCAAAAATACAATATACGTATATTTAGAAGTGAAATAAGTAGTTAATTAAAAATTATTATAGAAACAAAGGATTTTTCACAGAGCATACCTAGATATGTTTCTCCTAGATTAGAGATGGGAGCTGAAGCATTAAAAAACTGTTCAAAAGAGAAAAATAAACAAAGAGTGATTCTAAAGAATGTAGAGCTGACCAATACCTTAGAAAACACTCTATCTCACTATCACTCTAAATAAGATGTAAGAAATCTGTATGTACGCTGTGATAGATTGAAAACTTTTTTTTTGTAGACCTCACAAAAAAACTTTAACCAAACAAAATTATGTACTTATAATATACGTTTGGCTAGGTACCGGTAGTAACATTGCATAGGGTATAACTGACTGTATGACATTTCACTAGATTTTGTTGCATCTATTTCATTATTAATTAAAGGAAATATCTCAAGACGATACCTTCTGCTTCACATAAAAGTTTGAATTCTCTCAAACTTTCTAATGTGTTTACATAAGGCAAGGTAACTGTGATCCTCATATGCCATCTATTTATTGCTAATAACTTGAAACAGAAAACTAGGTTTTTAGCATACTTTTACAAATGGAAAATACTATTAATGGCAACTTTTTAGGGAGTCACACAACAGAGTCCTTGAAAGGACCAATATAGACAAGGTTCCTGCAAGGTAATAATACCAGCTGCATTCAAATACTAAATCACGCATACCTTTACAGACGGATAACCTTCTATGTTATAATGGACACAAGTGGCGAGATTACGTTCTTCTGCACAATCAATAGCAGCAACATGTATAAGCTGTCTCCAGTCTAAAGCAAATCAATTAAATTTTATAATTAATATCAACATGGAGACTATAAAGAACAATGAGTGAAAAACACACAGTACTAACCTAAAAGAAATTTCACTGAACCCAAAGAAATACTGCTGGGAAAAATTCTCAAATCCAAATTTCAACTTCTCCAAATAATCCTTCAGAGTTTCATGTCACATTAAATCTAAAGATCTCTCACCCCAGGGAGTAGCACCTTCCTACCAAAGTAGAAACTTTTCATAAAGTATTTGCACTATGTATGAAACATTTCTAAAAGATGTAAATCATGACCTAAGTAGAAATTTCCAAAGAGAAATAAATATATTGATTCAATTGAGGCCTTGAGCTACTGTACTGTATTTTAATTCCAAGCTTTTGCCGTTCTAGGGCATCATCAGGGAATGAAAGAAAATATTCTATAGAGCATGCTATAAAAGTGGTGTACAGTAGGTGATGCAAATGATAGAATTCAAAGAGAAAGTTTGATCTTTTTGATTGACAGAAGAACCTAGACAGAACTTATCTGTTCTAAGTTGGCAAACTCTTTTTGTACTGTTGTGAGGGATTCGAGAAGGGAATGTCTGTGTAGTTTTGCTCCTCTGGTATAGAGACTGGAATATCTCTTAAATACATATGATATCATTCACACCTTTTGGCAAGTCTAGGTAAAAAAAACATATCAGGCCAGAACTTACTATGACACATCTGGTCTCCATACAGCTTAACCCACTGACACCTGGAGATTTTTCGCAAAAACACATGTTTTGGACATTTTATAGGCCAAATTAGCTCCAATCTACTCAAAAAGGCATGCCTTTCTTTCCCCTGGCATCACATTTTATGACATTTTTGCTCGGGCATATGCAGAAATCAAAATTTTGAGATTCTTTGGACGAGAAAGTGACCTACATCTTAAAGCTGTTCGGTTTTTTAAATTGTTTTGTCGCCTTTTCTTTTTCTCCTTTTCTTATCTTTTTGCCGCAGTTGTTGACCTTCTTCTGGGCTTGCTTCCAGTTCAAGAATTTCTGAGAAAGCATCATTGAGACAGGAAATTTTTACCACAGAGTAGCCAGGCATAATCGAGGGAAATTTTGCTCTGAGCCTTTCCCTCAAATTTCTGAGCGTTTTTTTTTTTACACATTTTTGGCTCTATTAACCCAATCACTCTGATCTCGGTATCACTGGAAAGATCTTTTCCTCCTACAGAATCTGAGTATAAGTGATGCTAGGTGATAACGTCAGAAGTGGAACAAAGGCCAATGCTAGTCACAGGCGGTTACAGCCGGCACAGTCAATGGGTTAAAGTGATTGGAAGTGTCTTACTACTGCTCCTGGATGGTATGCCCCTGTATGGTTGCCTCCCATATTCACCCCCCATTATTTTATCAGGTTTCCCTACCAATTCACAGGAACACATGGATACTCTTGAGTGGAGATAAGCTACAGTAGCCTCTTCTAATGCTCAAACCCGTATTACAAGATCTGGAGTTCTGTGCACTAACCATGATTGGCCAAGCTATTATTCACTATGATGCGAAAATTTGATTATGAGCTCAAGATTTCTATGAGGTGATAGCTGAGTCAGCTATCACATAATAGAAATCCAGAGCAAATAATCAAATCACTCAATAAGTAGAATTCTAACTAAATTTTCTTCAAATAATAATTTTCCCTGGACACGAAATATTGACTTGGCACATGGTCTGGATTGCTGTGTATACAAGCTTAACCATTCAGTCATTTTTGTTTTGTCTTTGCTCTTGTTCTTTTTTTTTTTTTTTTCACGTTTTAAAGAGTGTCAAGGAAGTAATGCTTAGAAAAATTTCAAACATCTTCCTTGACCAGTGCAAGCAAACTTCTTCTGCTCGAAGCAGAAGCTAGCAGCTAACGCATCAGCCCAATTCTCATCGAATGTTTTTGAAACCTTTTCCCCAGAATTTTTCTTCTGTGGTGCTTTCTTTCTACTTGCAAATGGACACGAACTTTTGCATTTCTTCAACGACATATAACTTAAGCTTAAATCAACAATCTACAAACGGAGAACACCCAGACCAGGTTGTCAACTATACCAAACACAAACGTTTGGTAATCGTTTATATGCGGCAGTCTGTTACGCAACTTTTAATACAAGTTTACTTCTTGTGACAACCCGTCAACAAATATCAATTAGAGATAATTATGCAAAGAAACATTTTTCGTTTGTAACTTTGCATAGAATCAATCTTTTTTCATACAATTTTTTTAAATGAAAGATCGCTATAAGATCTATCTGAAAGAGCAAAAAACATTTTTTTTTTTTTGAAAAATGGTCAATCTTGGGGTATGCTGATACCTTAAGACACCTATGATGTGGAAGAATAAGATATTGAGTAAAACAATTGCACCTTCAAAGTTCCCTGGCACCATAATTGTTTAAAAAAAATTCTTAACTTAATTTGGTTTCAATAAAACACGGGACTCCCAAATGAACTGAAAATCGAGAAAAATACAACTCAAAAAATACAGGATCCCAGAATAAAATACTGTAAGTCATAAAAAAACCGTTTCTATAGCACGGGGTTCCATATGGTCAGCTGTTTAAGCGTTTAATTTCAATGTAAATCAACTCTCCCTCATGTTTACTTCTACTTCGCATAATTTAACTTCATCAACCCGCGAACCAATATTTAGTATATTGTAGTACGTGCGAATTAAGTTCGCACCAGCATTAAACCTTAGTTATCCCCACAACGAATAAAGATTAACAGAAAAAGATTGTGCCACTAACTGTGTTGTGTTGAATTTCCCTTTCCTGTTGCTGATTATTAATTTATTGCTCCCAAGTAACAGGAACAAGGAACCGCAGCTGACGTTAGTGGACTAATTTTAGATTCTTTGAATCGACCGAACTAAAGCAAATTATCTCCTTCCTTGAAAACAAAACTGAGTGAGCTGGGAATAATTCTTTTCCACATAACAATATCGTTGAATTTTTTCTCCTTTAACTTCTTTGTCTGATCGCCCGGCTTCGCGATGTCATTAAAAATATATCAGATCTAAACAAAGAACGAGCAACCGGGCAGATGGATCGCTTTTCAGCAATCTGTCTCTTGCTATACCTTCGCTGTTGCTGAATCGTTTTGCATCACCATAACCTTCTATTTGAGGATATATATCAATCGTCGTGAACTCACCTTTCGCCATTTTTGCCAGCTTTTTCCATGTCGGAGCAAATGCGTGACAATGTCCACAAAAACTGGAATAAAATTCTACTACCCATGCCGTTTGGCTATTGTGAATTACACTCGAGATTGTATCGTTTTCTAAGAGAACTGTGTGGTCGGCGGATGAATATAACACGCCACAAGAAAGTCTACAAGAAAGAAAAAACACAAAACAAACTACAAAACAACTGCATATGTATCCTGTACAATGTTCGGCCATGTTTTTCATGACAACTTGTGTGGTACACCGCTGATGATCTTGTGTGGGCTCAGGATTTGACGGGCCTAACAGAAGGTCTAACACCGGGGTCCAACAACAGAAGAGTCGAAACTTTGAGCCCAACAATCTTTGTACGAACAGAACTAAGGCGACGTCCAGTGTTTCATGCAGCTTTTGGAAACAAATCATTGAAATAGTGTTTAACGAAAGGAAACATAAATCGTAATTTCAAAGGGTTGATTTTCGTAATGACACGTCATTGAAAACAGTTGTTTGTCGCTTGGAGCCTCGGATGAGCAGTCAGTCGTTGAACAGGTTGTCAGCTTGCTTGAATTGTGCCAGGGCAGTTGCGTGAAATTTTTTCATACCTGTGAAATTTAAAGAACCGACAAAATCTTGACAATAAAAGCTGACAGTGACTTGTGATAATACATTGTTCGTGGCTAGTCTGAAAATTCTAACGTCAGGCGATGAAGTAATGAAAATTCTAAAGATACATGCAGGCATAACTCCGAAATTGCTTTCCAATGTTTTTTTTTTTTTAATAAATAAATAAACAAGAATCAACACTTAGATAGACCCGAGATAAGCTGTATCTAAACAGACTAAAGAGAAGTCTTTTGTTTCATCCAGTTTAGTCAGAGTTACCGTAATCAAAAACATATCGGAAAATCTGAAACTGCTGCATGAAAAATAAACATTTCATGGATAAACCCTTCACCAGGTTCCAGTGTTGGTAGGCGCCAGGCACCTCTCGAAAGGCTTAGCATGATTGGTTGAGAGAACAATAGAACAAAAAACACAAACACTGAACCTTGGAAAAGGAAGCAAATGAAATTACAGGTTCTGATGCTGGTAGGATTTTTTATTGCCCGTTTTCACACTGGTCCACATTGGAGACGGAAGTTCTGAAAATAACTACATTCTGAGACGAATTATCTTTCTGTAATGGTATAAAAACGGCCACTGTGATAAGTTAGAAAAGTAGAGACCCCTGCTGCGTCTAAACGTCCAACGTTAGTCCATCGGAAACACAAATTCTATCTCCATCCTGGCCAGGAAGCGATTCGATATTTGTGTGAAATTGTTTATCACCACGGCCTTTCAGAAGCGGAACCAGATTCTATACAAGGTGGGGGTCCGACAGGGCAAAAAAGATTGGGCGGGCCCGGATAGAAAAAAAGTGCCCAACGGAATAAAAATTGACCCTTTGCAGAACAGGATGGGGCTAGAAAAGAAAGGTGGGGTCTGCCTACCCCCCTGTCTATGTGGGATCACAATTAATCATAATAATGTTCTCAACCTTTTTGCACTTTCGTGTTATATTTGAAAGAGTAATCTTTTAATCTTTGCTGCTTTGGGATTTGTCTATGATATAAATTACGATTTGCATTTTCAAACAGAGATGAGCTAGTCTGCAGTTAGCATGCACTACAAAGGTTTTATATAATAAGTCATAATTATTATTGTATTTTTATAGAACAGACGTAGAGATGACGTCATTGACATTCTTTTTTGTTTCTTTTTATTATATACCACAGACAGATTTCATGTTGCTATGCATCTGTTCAGTAACAGATCACAAAAGTAGTCAAAATATGGTAAGGACATCAGTGACACACTCAGCTATCGCTTCGTGTGCCATATTTTTGTTCTTACCACATTTTGACGTCATCTGCGTTCTATTACTGAACAGACTCACAGCAACATGGAATCTCTTTGTCAAATTGATCTGGTTTCCAACCATTTTGTCGCTTGCTTTATATAGGAAAGATTTATAACAATCCATTTCCTGATCAAGCCTGATCATAAAAATAATGCATTCAAGGTAAAACAACGGGGCCTTGAAGCCCCTTAGTGATATTATGATATTGGCTTGCAAGGATTCCTAAGCTGAGAATACCACTGATCGTAAATTATAGCCCAGTAACCTCATTTCAAAAACGCAAAATGAACCGTTAGAGCATGCTTCTAAGTGAAAATTATAATTTTGAACATTGTCATTTAGCAGCAGTATAATCAAGCAGTTCGAATCTCTTACCGCGCAAGGTAACACCACTTTGTATAAGATAATCACGAATAATTCTGCTGCGCACTAAAACACACCAGCGATTTGCATGTTCCTGACTGATCAGTTTTATAACTCCCAACTGAACAAACTCTTCGAGACAATCGGCGATTTCCAATATTGAAACGTCAGGAAAACTCTTAGTTCTTTCACTCCGTTGTGCTTTAAAACCGAGTTTATGAAGACTTTCATCTTTTGCTTTTGTTTCTTCGTGTTCATGTTCAAAGACAAGAACAGAGGAACTGTCATCTACTGGAGCAAAGCTCTCTCTTGGAGATGCTTTTGGTAACTTCTTCTCCTTAGCGCTTTCTTTTTTGTGGCTTCCTTTGCGTGTGCTTCTTTGTTCACTCGCAATTTTTGCAGTCCTTTTGAAATCACTTCCTCCTGTTATCTTGCTATGTATTTGTGGGAATAATTCTTCTTCTTTTGAACCTGATTTCAAGACTTCTTGCACCCACTTGGACGATTTTTTGTTCTGCATTGATTCAATATCGAATATCCCTACACTGCTGTTATGAAGCATTTGTAAAAAATTTGTCTTCTTTTCCTCGAACGGTGGATAAGTTTTCAATCTTCCGTGAAAACAACGCAATTGCTGAGCGGCGGTTATTTGTTTAGGTTTTAGGTCTAGAAGACTTTTTTCCGCTGATTTTCCAGTATTTTCTTCAATGGTAAACGTCTCTTGTTTGACGAGAGGAGCCGCAAAAGATACCGATTTATTTTTTCTTTGTATTTTGAGTTTCGTCTGAGGAGCGGTCTTCATACTTACTCCATGACAATACCTTTTAGCCTGATCATTGTCACTATGAATAACAGTTGAATCTGCTCGATTAATTTTCTTCTTGAGCGACAGCACGTCTGTCCCTTTCGTCCCTTTCACCGTATTACCTCTGACAACATTTTGTTCTTTCGCGGGAAGTTTTGTGGCTCTCCTACAAAATTTTCCCTTCTTGTTTTTACCCCATGTAGCCTGGGTTGTGTTGCCATGCCGACGGTTACTTTTCTCTTGGCGATTAAGCGGAAATCCATCAAGGTTTGAGGTAAAACGTGGCTCTTGTTTGCTAAAATCCACTGAGTCGACATCGCCGAGAATTTCCGAAAAATCCTGCTCACCAGTCTGGTATTTCCTGTCACAACCGATACAACCTTTTCCAGTGCACAGAATGTTTCCTATCTTGGTGAGATGCACTCGATCTTTCGTGTACAGGGGAGCCGTAGATATAAGCTCGCTCATCCTTTCAGTTTTGTCACAATAAACAGAAATAAACAGCGGTCCCTTCAAACAAAAAGCGTACAACAAAATATCTAGTTCTAAACAGAAAAAAATGTTCGATATTTAACAGTAATATGGATCTCTTACCGATCTCTTATAAAATACACGACTGAAAACTCATTAGAATTCAGAGAGATATACTTTAATTTACATTACTGAAAACCAGAGAAAAATATAACAAGTCTCACTCAGTTCGTGATTGGTTGAAGTCATCACCTGCTGGCTTTTCGTATTTTTAATGAGCATCTTTGATTGGCTGAGAATAATCAGTTTAGCACTTTATTATCAGCCTCGGAAGTGATATATTATGTGGAAATCCGTATGAATGCAGTAAAAGAAGTGAAATATAAGTCAGGTTCCTCGCATACACGGCTGGGATAGGAGAAAGACATTGAATTTCATTATTACTGGGCTTGGAATAAGAAAGCATGTGATGAACCTAATGTGTTAGTACTGTGAATCAAATCTCACAGACCGCCGGAGAAATTATAGAATAGTTTTCAATTGAGTGTCGTAAAACAACTGAAACCACCGCTGTAATCACTCTGGCCAATCACAAAGGACACACCATCCATCGTAAAAACGTTTGATTGGTTAGGCAAGTAGCGCTGGCATTTTGAACCAATCACTAAACATAGTAATGTATCAAACCAAACTAACCACGTGCGAATTATCTTCGACACTCAAATGAAAACAGCTTATTGTCTAAACTATTCAAGAACACGAAGAACACTAGCGTGTGTAGAACCTGATGGGATGCAGGGGCAAATACTTTACCGAGAGGCCAAAAACTTCGCCTGGTTGTTAACTATCAGATTAAAGAAAGTCGACAGCATTATTCAGTGTTTAAAGCACTCTTATGTGAATCTCCGACAACAAAGAAGTGCAAACTTTAATTTTTTTCAGACTCGATCCGCGCCAGGAAATGAGGCGTACCCGGGAGCAGCAATTGGGAAAAAAGTTATGTCCTTTTTTAATCACAAGCTAAAACAACGCTGTACTGTTTACAGCCTCTAGCAGTGCTGTTATAAATTGCATTAACGTCTTCAATATAGCTATGAAGTCAGGCCTGTCGTAAATTGTATTATATAATAATCAAATGAAAGCGCGCGCTCTGATTGGTCAATCAGCTATGGTTCATTGTTCCAGTAAACTCATGGAAATTTCGCGTGTCTTCTGAGTTACACTCGAAGAATTCGTAAACCACTCGCCTGCGGCTCGTGATTTACGAATTCTCCTCGTGTTCTTCCAACATCCCGCGTGGTTTATCAGCCTATAAACCATAAAAACTTGTGGTCTATTGCTTAAATAACCTATAACAGACCTATAGGTAACAGCTTCTGTGACACCACATCTGTCGAACACTGGAAGGACTGTAATAACGCTAGACTATTTGATCGTGCATGCGCAAGTGCCTATATTATTTCAAAACGGAAGGCCTTCTTTTAAACTCCCTCTCTCCTAAAACGGTTCAGGGAGTTGGCCATGATATAATTTAATGTAATTCACGCAATCTATATTAGTCTGGCATCTCTTCAGCTTTAATACGAAAACTCTCCCTGTTGCTTAACAGTCCATACGCACGCCAAAGAAAAGTATTATTTAGAATAACAAAGGCTCTGCTTTTTCATATATATATATATATTTGAGTAGCTGCTTCAGTGTACATTGGAAGGGACACACATCGAAAAACTTTAATCAAAGTGAGTTGCCTGTGTGACGCTTTTGTTTTCCCTAGACGTTATCACCTCCTCATATGGCGAGAAACAAAATAATGAAGGAGCTTTACATAAAAGTGTTAAAAAAAAGACTGCGATTCCTTGGGATTTCTGGATCAGGATCAATGATCCAAGATCACTCGGAAAAAGGTGCATCAAAACTAGGCTTAGTCTGTCCACAGACAGTTTTTTTCTCTGCGAGTTTTTTCCATAGAGCGTGCGAGCGCGGAGACGCCCGCGTGGCGTTTTAGCGCCATAGGCCCGGTCCAAACGCCGCCGCCGCGACTAAAGGCTCTCGGAGAAGACGGAAAAAAAAAACTCGGCGAGCGCGAAATAGAAGAATGAGCTTCGTTCGGGCTCACCGGGCGCCTGTTCGCAGGCTACGAGAAAATATGCGTTCTAAATTCAAGAACTCTGTCCAAATAGAAAAGCTGTGACTAACATTTTGCTATTATAGCAATATTTAGGGAAGCAAATTCAAACTCAAGGTTCAGTGTTTGTATTTAGAGAGGTTTTCTCCCGCTTAATTCGACTTGTTAAAAGGAAATCTCATAAGCTGGGCTATTATCACGAAGAAAAAGCAAAAAATGAATTTGCGCTAAAGAAACTCGCTTATACAGTCCTGTTTCTCATAACTCGAAGGCACATTTTGTTGTCTTTATTTTTAGCGACGACTTCAAGCTTCATGCATGACTGGTCGCACCACTCAATTTTGAGCCAATCACGAGTCCCGTTACATAAAAAATACATTACAATAATTTATGCATTGGGTTCGACACATGAGGAGAACGCCGTATGAATCAGCTGCCACTCCAACGTCGCATAGTGCGACAGACCCTGCCGAATTTAATGTTGTTTGCCGCACCAAACCTAACCTGCCGAACCAAACTGATTCAAACTCCGCTCTTCTGCTGTGCTTAACTCATCAGTTAGGTTCGGCGCATGAATGGAGCGGCGTTTGGAACGGGCCTAAATAGACTAACCTATTGTAGGCCAGCCTCGTTCCCAGGGTCTCTCATCTTACCGCCCCCTGGAGCTCCAGGGAGCGGTAAGATGAGAGACCCTGGGAACGAGGTTGAACCTAGGCCCGATCCCCGCCACTTTCTCGAGGCCCGTCCGTGATGTTCCTCCCGAGAAGAGAGATAAGGGATGGAGCGCTGGCTCCTTTCCCGAACAGCGGCTGGTAATCAAGCCTACATGAAAGCCCGCATCCAGACGTACCCAGGGTGGATTCATCAATTCTTTTGTTTTACCACGATCCAAATTATCTTGGATTCTTGACCCTGATCCGGATCATCCGAAAGAAACGCATAAAATAAGTCATCATCAGTGAATTAGCTTAACATCACGAGGCCTTGTATTAAGCTGTTAGATCAAATTTCATTTTCTATTTCAAAAATAGAAAACGAAATTTCTGGAAAATTACTTCTTTTCGTTTCAAAGACTTATTAAAAAACACCACAATGTGACGTGTTAAGCTGGGATTAAGGCAAATTGTTCGTGGCTGTTGTTAATAATTGCATCAAATATTATAGTCTTATAGTCTTCAATTCACGACAGTACAGTGTGCCCGGCCAATCGGCTTCTGAACAACTGAAACCAGCTGGTAATGTACTGTTGTGCTTATTGACACAATGTGTTCGTAAAATACACAGGTATTGAACACATCGTTTGTCGCGTAACGGTCGTATTTTTGTTTTGCTCTGTATTATCGAAACAATTATTCATAAATGGGTCGATGTAGGGATTTTGTGACACGTCCGGCTGCAACGCAGGCTATATGAAAAGTGGCATCCCAGAGAACTAACAAATAACCTTCCTCGGTATAGTCTCATAGTCTCAGTGCTTGGTTAAGGTGGATAAGGGATTTGGGCCACGAAAGTCCAGCACAGCAAAAATTCGAGAATATAGGGGCAAAGCTGGTCGTGAAATATATTTTAAAAGCCAAAATAAAAAAAAATGCACAACCTAAAGTTGAAAACAAATCTTGCTCAGAGGAAACTCCCGATCTCACCTCCCAAAACATAATGTGCATCCCTAAATTTCGGTGCAGTGATCTCTACAGTACAGAGGAAAACAACAATGTCAAAATCAAAACACGCGGAAAAGAAAGGCACAAGGGAACATAAGATCAACCGCACATACCCAACTCACTGCTTCCACAAAGCATGCAGTTGTTGATATTTTCCCATGTTGCACTTCATATCACTAAACTAAACAAAGCTGACAGTTTGCATAATCGACCTTATTTTGTCTGACACGAGTGTTCGGATCGGATCAATGACGCTCCGCGGTGAATCGTAAGAACTTTGACCCCTTTTCGCGACACGGCGTCTTATACTGACTATACCGAAGGAAGATCCATCGATTTCCATGAAGAGGCTTTGTGGAAAATGGAAACGAATAGCTCAATCGCTAAGATTGAACTGTACATATTGTAAGCAACGCGGACGATTGAAACTTGTCATGTTGTTGCTGCTGTGTTCGTGTATTTGCCACGTTCTTATTTTAAACTTCAGCGGACGCGGGAGTACCAATTCTGCTACCAACGAAATTTTGCCTATACAACAAGCACAATATTTCACCACCGTGGAAAATCGAGAGGGTACCACAACTTTAAGTCCCCCAGGGGTTTCTTTAAACAATGAACCGAAACGTGCGCCGCTGTCGCGGAAAACTAATTTGTTTCCTTTTCATTCGAATAGCAGTTCAAGCGGCGCAGATGAATCTTCTCCCTTCGTGATGGTTTTTCCTCATTCAAATAAAGGGAAGCACTTTTCTCAGGAGTTATCGGAAAAAGATAAGCTCGCTTTCTGGAATTTGAGCGAATTCCTCGGTGCGATGGAAGGATTCGACGGTGTCACATGTTTGCAGCCTGAAGCCTCGACACACAGCAGTGACACCGATCACCTGCGACAACAAGAAGAGAACAACTTCACAAGGAATATTTACGTGGATTCGTCTTGGTGTCGGTTTATGAAAAGGGAATGGAGTATTCACATAAGAAACACAGGCCAAGTACTAAATCTACAAATACGTCTGATTAAACCCTCAAGAAACGGATCTTCGTTGCCCAGAAACGCAACTTTGCCGGTGGACATTTTGCTACAAAGCTGTAATATAGTACAGGGGCCCTTTCTTATAAGAAGAGATGTGTACGACAGAATAGGGAGATTACGCGACGGTTTTGGAAAATTGGCCTTGCTAGAATTTTTCATTCGATCTGAAGGCCAATTGAAAATAGCAAAGCTGTCAAATTGTGTGTGGACACCCGAAATAACGCGCGTGGACCGTGGATCTCTCGAAGGGTCAAACAACGTTCCGGAATATAGTTCATTCGGGAATAAGCACGGCATCCTTCGCATCGTGACGGAAAGCCGAATTGAGTGGACAGCATGCGTGGCAAACTGGAAATTATGCCCAGAGAAACCGTACGTTAAGCCGCAAGATCTTCCACGTATAGCCGCGCCGATCTGTTGCAGCGTCGTGTTAGGTCAAATGTTAGCGGACCTTGCATGGGCGTTGACTCGTCTTGGTTTAGAATACCGTATAATTTATGGTACTTTATTAGGCGCTGTCAGAAGTCAGGCCATTATACCATGGACGGGGGACATTGATATCGCTTTGACAAAGTCTGCGATTGATAATGCTTCGACGTTTCCCGCTATTGAAAAACAGCTTGAGAACCGGTATTACGTAGGGAACTCTTTCATGGACGTGCCAAGGGTCCACAGCCTTATGGGACCTTACATCGACGTTGACACGGCTCCCTTTTTTGCAGGACCCGATGATTTACAAGGTAATTTGTTATTTAGCAACGACATTGAGGAAGCAGTGAAGGGTATGCTGCCGGTGTCAGAGCACTGGAGAGAACGCAGTTATGCTGATTTGTACTGGTCTCCATCAGTATGGATGAATGGTTCTTCCCTTGTCACCATTAACAATCAGACATTTGTCACTGTCAAAGAGGTTGATTACGAGTTAACAAACTGGTATGGTAAGGATTATCGGCAACCAGTTCTTAAGGGAAACTGGGTGGGTTTCTCGAATAAAGGAACTGCTTAGTAATATCCTGGTCGGAAAGAAGAAGCATTTCTTGGTGGCATTTCGTGTGCCATTGACTTCCTTTCGGAATTCTCGCGCGTACAAACTGGTTTTCCTCGCGCGGCTTTGCCGTTCTCGCGATCTATCGTGATGCTCTGCCGCTGAAACAAAGTATTCGCGCGAGATCGCACCAGCTACACAGGCGAGATTAGTTGGGATGGAAATGGTTTCTCTTGTCGTTTTGCTGCCATTAACGTGTTGATTCTTGACCGTTAAGGTGCTAATCCTTGAGTGGCCAATTTGTTTACGAGAGTTTTCTTCTGTACAAAGTCCGGTTTCGACTGTTCGCACATGAGGTCCTTTTACCGAGCATCATTCTCGAGGTGCTCTGTCAACTTCCTGTTACCCTTCTAATACTTTAATTATTAAACTGTTCCTCGCCGCTTTGCACATCGGTAGACTAAAGCTATTTAAAATTTCGTTGAAAGACTTGGCTACAATTACACTGAATGACCAAAATTCATGTGAATTCTATGAGTCATGGACACCTGATTTTAACATAAGAAATTAAATACGATTAAAGACCAGCACGGGTGTGCTTTGATTTATGCTTGAAGACTTGTTATTCTGCTCTTTCCTTTATTCGCGTTGTAAGATAATATTGAGCCAACTCTAAATATCAGTGCTTTATATATACCTCTTACTAACTGAGTTCTTGATCCTTTCTGTCAGACCGAGTATCTGTTTCGCTTCACGGGATTAATATTGTTTTGGTTTCTGGAGTGAAGTCAATGAACTATTTACATAGTGGCGATAGCACCCAATCAGAATATTGTGGCATTGAAAACATATGTCCGAGCTAGATTGATAAACTAGTGAACACATGTTCAGATGTCGCTGACATGATCGTCACGAACACATGGAAATTTTAATTTATCCCAACTGTATAGTGAATTTGAGGTAGATTGAATCAACGTAACATAGCGTGGAAAAATGCCAAGGTATTCCTTTCCGTGTTTATGTGGTATAAACAGGCGGGAAAATTTCCACCAGAGTTCAGTGCGTCTCAACACAGTGTGACCTGCACCAAATCAACTGTTGCCTCGTAGGAAAATAGGAAATAACGCTTGAAATGCGCGTTTATAGTTATAATAATACAAAACAGACCTGCGAAAAGGAGTTCCGTCCTCTCCTGCAGTATATTCTAAAACCAAGATCACCCTACTTCCGGTGTCCTCACAAAAATAGCTCCTTGATCGGTAGTTGGAGATTTCGCGCCCAAGCGAGTTCACACCCACATCGACTCAATTAGCTATCAAGTTCACCTAGATTAGCGGGCATAATGACACAAAATCGCATAAAATATGTTTATTTTTCGTTTTTTAATCCATTGACCTCGGAGCTAACTCGGCAAAATCGAAATAGAAAGTTTCATACGAGTTCAGGGATGCGCGCGAACTCGGGAGGTACATACATACAAACTTTATTGAAGCTCCTGACTGGATTATCAGCTACAATATAAACTCGATTGGGTGCGAAAGGTAGCATTCCCTTGATCCGGCCCTTTCGATTGAAGGCCGAGGAGCGAAGAGCGCGGGCCACAAATCGAATGGGCGAAACGAAGATCCGTAATTTACTTTACAGACCGAGAGGGCAAGGTCTGTAAGATTTATTTATGGCTCTACTATGTGTTTGATAGGATTCGGAAGAGCATAAAATTTTAGCGGACCGTACGGTAGAATACGGTGTGTTAAATTGTAACAGGGGCTGGTAAATTTATCACTTTTTGTAAGAAAAAGAATTTAGCTCACCGGTTGAGCAGGAGGCGATCGGCAATCTTCCGAGATCTATTTATGTCAAGCGGCTCACTCGCTTAAAAGATGAACTCAAAATATTATTAAAAGGACAACTGTCGTAAACGAGATATAGCCAATTATGTCTAGTCTGTGGAGGCCCTTAAACGAAAGGTGCTGATTAGCCTGATTAGCCTTTGTGTTCCGACTTAAAGGTAGTTCCGATAAATATATTTTGTAACGTTTCGCTAATTACACTGGAGTATGTTCACTATGTANATACATACATACATACAACCTTTATTTATACACGATAAAAGACGTCAAAGCTAACAAGCTTGTGGGGTCGAATAAATCGCTATCCAGTGGATAAGTGTTAGCAAAACAAAATATATTTTGTAACGTTTCGCTAATTACACTGGAGTATGTTCACTATGTATGGTTTGTGTTAACTGTAGAAGTATTTTAGGCGTGAATCCCTAAGGGGCTAGTAGGCTATTTAAGAATTTGTAAGTTATGCAAGAGCCACTCGAAGGCATCTCTTTCAACTTTGCTTTTGCTGTCATGCCGTCGGATACTGAACGAGCGAGCGTTCCCGCTTCGATCGCGCAATCCTTCACTGAGGGAGATCCGGTTCATAAGTGACTGCTTCACGAACATTGGCTCGACGTTATCCAACGCCAAGACTTAAATTGGAAGTTGTTTCCTCATCTTTTGGACGTTAAGTTTGATTAGAAGTTCGCTGCATTCAAACGCGATCTCGACGAGAAACAAGCTGCCTCTCAGTCTCAACTGTAGAAGCTAAAAACGGTATCCAAGGCCTCGAGTTCTCTAAAGTATAATACGAGTTCAGCAACTCTCTGCTGGATGCAACAGACGGGACGATCAAGACTATCTCAAAAGGAAACCTTTCAGCAGCCAAGTTATTTTGTTCCGCGGACAAGAATCCCGCTGTTTGGGCAGCAGTGCAAGGGTACGAATCGGACGAACTCGCCGAAGATTCTGAGGAAGAGAAAAAAAGCTCTGATCAGCCGAAAGACGAGCGCTAGCTAAGATCCGGGAGAAAAAGCGGAAAAATGTGTCTAGCTGGCCAACTCTACAGCTACCCGCTCTACATCCAGTGAAGCTCCATCTGCTCATGGTCTGTTCACTGGCAATTATTTTTCTTCTAATCAGCCTTTTTGTTTTTTTTCGCATGCAGTCCTTTCGTGGACGTCAGCCTCAACTAGCAGACAGTGTTTCAGCTGCGGCCGAAGGAGCCACTGAGCAAATCCATCTTCCTGCCCAAGCCGTTTCAAAGGAACCGCTGCAGCCCCTCCAAGCTGCATTGAAGAGAATGGGATAAGATGAGTATATAATTTATTCAATTTAATCAAATGATTGGGAGACTTTGACCCAGTTGAACTAATTGATAATTTTGTTGAACCATGTGTTTCAAGGTTTTTTGGAAGTCTTGAAAAGACAATTTACTCTACGGGGCTGAAAAATTTCTGTAGCTGTTCATCGTTCGCGTAAATTTTTGGTATGTCAATTGTGTCCATCACTTTTGACGTTGCCATGGCAACCGCAAACTTCGTATAGGTTTGGACAAAAATCAACTTTTTCGACATAATTCTGTATTTTTTTTCAGCTTTGTTCATCATTTTCCCGAATTTCACCGAATTGTACATTTCATAAGCATTCTAGATTATTTTTTGACTTTTTAAGAAAAAAGTAAAATCCAAAGATGGCGGGTCAAATGACGTCATGCGACGTCACAGCCAAAAAAATGTCATCACTTTATAGAGCAAGCTCAGGGCTTTCTATTAAATGTATGTAAATTTATTTTCTGTGCCTTAATAGAACGAAAACCCAAGGAGGGGGTTTCATCCCCCTTGTACCACGATGGGGGTATTAGTCCGAGGGCATCAATAAACGAGGTGCCCGCCCCTGATGCTGTGTTCGTGTTTATTAAGATAAGGTACAAAATATTTTATAATCGTTTCAGGGTGATTAGAGTATAACCACGCTATCCACCGGATAGGATAGCGATTCATCCGGTGGATAGCGTTATCCACCTTTTGGACAACCGGGACCAGCCGTCCAAATCAAGGTTAAAACCAGTTTTAGCCAATCATATTCGTGATTTTGTTAGTCTTCGTCCTGGTGAGTCACGGCCATATAATAAAAGACAATATGAAATTTTATTCCCCTTGTACTTCGTTATTTCTTAATATCACATTGTTAATTAAGGGTACACTACTTAACTAATGCTTTGAAATACATTTTAGTTGTGAATCTTTAGTGATGAACAAGTAGTCTTAAAAACAACACATCATGACTTAAAAATATCTTCTGATTTCTATCATGTTTGTCTTTTGTTCAAGAATTTCATTCCAAAATAAAAACTAAGGCAAGCGCAAGACATTTATTTCATATGTACAACCTAAGTATTTTAAATTTAATTTTCACTTCTTTCTATTGCAATACCACACTGAGTGAGCCAATAAAATAATTCTTTTGATGTTTAGTCAAAATAACATATTGAATAACACTTGGTGTAAAAAACTCATTCCCTTATAATTACTTCCAGGAGATTACCAGTAATGCTTTGTCTAGTACAACGTGCTAATAAACTAACGCAGAAGGTAAGGAATTATTCCCAAATAATAGAAATGAATGCAATGAGAGATTATACTCAGGACAATGAAAACTGATGGCAATAACACACAAACTTTCTGTGATGATAACAGGACTGGAAAACAACAGTGAAAATAGCAACAGACAGCTTGACATCGGAGGGAGGAGCAAATTAAACCGAGTGAAAAATCAAATGAAGCAATAAATATAACAAACAAGAAAACTTTTGTTGAAATCTTTTTTACTTGCCTATAAGTTTGGGTAGAATTCCGACTTCGGGGCAGCACAAAAGACACCGTGTTGCATATAAAGTACCACCTAATTACCGGTGTTGAAATTAATGCTCCATGGAATTAACACAACTTACATTATTACCACAAAATCCACCAAAATTTCATGAAGCATCGATTAAAAAGATTTGTATAAAAAAGTCAAGGTTAGAGCTGGTTGAATATAGGTGGATACAAGAGTAAGAAGTCTCAGTTCATAATCGTAGTGCAACTCACAGTTGTCCTTTGTTACCTTCTACTGGCCATGTTTGAAGCAAGTGAAGCTAAATGCATGTTAAGTGTTACTTTCGTAGACAAATGTCGTCTAATTAAAGTACTGTGCCATTATGAAAACAAATAATTTTTAAAAAATAGTTAATAACGTCCGAGTGCTAAATTTGAACCCCAAATGTTTCTTTAAGCCCTTATATCCTACGTAATTATTCCCACATTACAGAAGCATGAAAACAAATTTGAAGCTCTGATTTTATGGCATGCTTATTTATTTGCAATATATTTGCTAAATTGACAAAATATTGCAACGACGAGAGAGAGGTGCGGAATGACCACTTGTCTTCCTGACTACCACATCGACTTATTTCTCGGCCATGACGCACTCACCGTGCATTCTTTCAAGGCTTTAAATCGGTCGATTTCAACCTTCCGCCAGGTAAGCATGTGGTAGCCTTGGTGGAGGTTTATTGTTTGTACTGTGAGAGTATGGTAAGTGGCCTACAAACGCAACACGAGAGAGACCATTGGCTGCACTTGACCTGCCAGCCTCACTAACAATGTGCTGACCGTTATATCACAGTACCCCTGATGATCATGGACCATGTTAGCAACCTTATCGACAGTACTTTGATTGTCCACCTTATAGCACCTAACCTCAAAAGTAGGGACCGTTTTCTTCTGACACTGCTTTCACTCCCAAACCCTTTTGTAATTTTCTTCTTCGTCGTCTTCTTCATTTCGTTTGTTGCTGTACATGTTTGTGGACATTCCAATTAACCAAACTTAAAACAAGAAACTACCACCTTCTTCGCTATTTTCATTCTAAAAGCAACTACCGATTAAAGCCAAAGCTTTCATCAATTAACCATCCTTTTTTTCTTTCACCCAACAGCATCACCTCTGCTTCTTATTGTACTGTTTTGTTCAAATAAGCACAAGCCCTTGAAGCTCAATTGTGCGGGTTGTAATACAAATGAGAAAAAAAGGTTCTTCTTCTCCCAAAATTTCCCAGCTGCTTGACGTACACTCTGATCATTCCACGCATTGCCTTGTTTTATTCTTCACTGCTAGATTTGAAGAGACTTGGCAAATGCAACTTTGTGATGTAATAGTTCAGAGATCTCTTTTACTGACTGCTTGTAGCTGGTCTGCAGTTTCTCCCAAATCTCCGACACAATGGAAGACTTAGTCTAAAGAACAAACAATAACAGTCGCTTATTCAGTGAAGTACCAACTTATGTTCTTCTGTGTTACAATGAACCCCTTCGTAATTTTCTGAATCCGGTGTGGTAGCTCAAAACGTTATAGAGGATGAATATCTCATTTTGATAAAGCTATCGTCTGTTGTAACAAGTGCTCGAGTGTGTTCACCATTATGTGTCGAATATTATTACAAGATGGGCTTCTTAAAAGAATGGAGGCATGGTTTAACTCTTCAGAACTCTTATCACTTATACATGCTTGTCAACAGAGCAAAGGCAAAATTAACGCTCTCTATCAATTTTATCATCATCGCAGCAAGCTCTTGAACTAGACAATTCAACAGCTACTACATGTAACTTCAAACCAGAATCCTTTATTTTCATTTTTCATTACTTAAATTTTTTTTCCCACAATCATTTACCTCGTTGTCTAGTTCAACTAGATTTAGTTCCAGTAGCTCATCTGACAACTGAGCAACGTTGACTTCTTCCAGAGCTGAATGGACAGCAGTAACTGAGCTCCTCAGTGTTGTTAGGAAATCTTTGAATGGCACAATCTCTTCATTCTGATTAAGACAAAACATTTTTTTAAACGAATTTTTTCACAGGCATGGTATTTTATGCCACGCAATCTGGAACGTTGACTTTCTGTCTCCTTCGCTTGGTACCGGTCACAGATGAAGTAAAACAAAAGAAATAAAATACAAGATGCTACAAGATACAAAGGTAAAACAAGGGATTCATTTGTGACCAGCACGCACAGAAAGATCCACTTTCTAGACCTTTGTTATCCAAACTTTCTCAATAAAATTTATTCTGAACATTATCGTTAACGAGGTCTCAGAAAGGCTTATGCAGCGTAAACCACACCAATGCCGTTCAGAGTATGACATCCACAAAACCTTATGTACTTAGAAATAATTAGTCGTCTAACAAAAGCAAATCATAACCATGATCATGGTTTGTACATCGGATTTTAACTAGCATAGAATTCGCGATTTATTTCCAGGTTTTCTCCTTAGTACTTGCTTCAACTGAAAAGATATATGAAAACCTCGTCCAAACACCTTGAAGCCTGTCAAAACTACTCTGCTGCCAGCCCTTAGATTTCCGACTTTCTTCTTGGTGATTGGAATTGTGATGAAAGCGTATCTCATTTTTGGTATATTGTATTCAAAGTAACAGTCATTAAATTTGATTCTACAGATCTCTATAAATTAACAGTAGTAAAGTAATACTGCTGCATCTCATTGCCACACTACATTAATAACATTTATATCATTACTGGTCAGTTGCTTGTTAAAGCATTTAACAAGAAATATAAGGAGCAACGTTATTTGACATTTCGATGTATCCAACGTCATTATCAAGAATAAAAATCGTTGAATGTCAAAGTTATTAAAAGAGTTGAGTTATGAATATCATTAGGTGGCATTCCTGTGTGCGTGATAATTATGCTAATGGTAAATTCGCGCGAATCGAGTCCGATTGCACGTTCAATGATGGTTTGAGATCTTGTGAGAGCCGAAGGTTCAATCGAATTTCTACTTCTGAGTCAGAACTTCGGTTTAAAACCGACCTTCGCAAGAGTTGACAAAAACAAGATGTAACTAGTGGAAGAATCCATCTAAGCGCTTCCAGAAGGATGCTTTAGCAGAAGAGCTAAAACACAGGCTGTCCGACCTTAACAACCACCGGTCGCAAATCAGAGAAATCAACAATGAAATCCTCCAAAAATGTTCCACTTTTCAATGTATGTGCATCTTAAAATTGATCACGACTCCTCGTAAACGAGAGTACGACCAAATGATGAAAAAACACACAAAGAAGATATCTCGTCTTCTATCCAAACAACTGGAGGTTGATCGACACCTACATAACATCTCATCCTACGAATTATCGTTCTTCCAAAAGCTGATCATCTACCGAGGGTTGAAATTTTCCCTTCCGCAGAGAGTCTCAGCTATAGATGTCAAGGGCAGCTTTGAAGAGGCGTATTGGAAGCTTGAACCTCATTTGAGTGATAGCAACAAAGAATTAGCCTCCGCTACACCACGCTCCATAGCGCTAAACTACATCGAGAGGAAACCTACCGCCCCTTCAAAGGCTCTCCTTCGCGCCTTAAACCAACTCAAGATTCTTCGAAGACGACATCGTAGTGACGAAGCCAGATAAAGGTGACGATGATGTAATTATGGCTAAATCTGATTACACACAGCTACTAAAGGAAAACTAAAGGAAGCGTCTATCATATCAATGACGTGACCAAATTTGTTCCTTGCAATCTGGAACGCCCAAAGACCAGAGGCCGCAAACCAAAACATTACCATCCCCTTCTCGCAAAGGAGCGGCAATTGACCGCTGTTGTCAACAAGATCCTACCAAAACAGACTGCAGACTCCCTCTCACCAAAAGGTTCTAGACTAGCACACCTATATGGCCTACCGAAGACCCTCAAGGCAGTCCTATCCATGCGACCGATCCTGTCTGCCACCGGAGCCTATCATTTCCATCTTGCTAAGTGGCTCGACGAAAAGCTTAAACCACTATCAACAAATGATCACACGGTGAATGATATCTTCCAATTTGCCAGTGAAACTCAACGTAGGCTTGTCAATGAGGATGATGTCCTTGTTTCACATGATGTTACAGCACTCTTTACAAACGTCCCCGTCAGTGAAGCCATCCAGATCTTGGCCCACAAGGCTTTCCACGATAACTGGTTTAACAGAACTTACGATCTTCAACTCGACAAAGAAGACCTTGTTGAGCTCCTAGAAGTGTCTGTAAAGAGCCAGTTCGACGGCGAACTATACGAGCAAACTGATGGCGTCGCCATGGGGTCCCCTCTGGGGTCTCTTCTTGCCAACACTTTCATGTATTCATTAGAAAGAAAAACTCCAAGTGGAAGGCGAAATTCCCAGTTTTTACAAGCGTCACGTCGACGACACTTCCGCGATTATGCCGAGCATCACAGAAGCGTGTGCCTTCTTTGACGTTCTCAACTCGATGCATCCCGCAGCATCTCGAAGCATCACCATGGAATTAGCGAGTAACAACAAAGTACCCTTCCTCGGTATCAACATCATCAAAAGTGGAACCAAACTGGAAACAAGCGTCTATAAGAAGCCAACGAACACCGGCCTTCTTCTTTATTTTGACAGCCATGTCAACCGACGCTACAACGAGGGCCTCGTCAAAACTGTGCTAAATAGGGCTCACAGACTGTCATCGAATTGGAAAATCTTCACTGATGAATGTGAGACATTGAAGTTGACTTTCTCAAACCTTCATTATCCTTCAACACTGATTGATGCCACCACTAACCCATTTATTACCAATATTGTTGTTGCCAATGGTCATGCTTTCGCTTCCTTTCATTGACCAGAAAACTACGAGACACACAAGGAGACAGCTACAAAATCTTACTTCTAAAGTCGGTGTCTCTCTACATCCAGTCTTCAGTAGTAAGAAGGTCGGCAACATCCTCAAGACTCGAGAGCCAAAACCGAAGATTATAAGCGAACAATGCGTGATACATCATTTTAAATGTGGTCTATGCGACATGAACTATGTCGGTTTTACCAACCGACACCTCTACCAACGCATTATCGAATACACAAGCTCCAGACCTTCGATTGGCAAACATATGAAACATGGAGTCGACAAACCAACTATCGCGGACAATTATTCGGTCCTCAAAAAGTGCCGGAATAAACTAGACTGCCTTATTCACGAAATTTTGTTTATACAAAATCTCAAACCATCATTGAACGTGCAATCGGACTCGATTCGATGATATCCAACTCTTTTAACAACTTTGACATTCAACGATTTTTATTCTTGATAATGATGTTGGATACATCGAAATGTCAAATAACGTTGCTCCTTATATTTCTTGTTAAATGCTTTAACAAGCAACTGACCAGTAATGATATAAATATTGTTAATGTAGTGTGGCAATGAGATGCAGCAGCATTACTTTACTAATTCTTATATTATTATTACCATCCAAATTGCCAAAGCAAAACAGAAGCAAAACAAAATAGAGTAATGGAACAGGCCATCCACTGGTTAATTGGATACGCGTTTTGTACTCACAGTTTTAGCGGAGCCAGGTTTCTTCTTCTTAGCTTTTTTGCTGCCTGCCAGCTTTTGTAGAAAGCTGCAACATACAGATGCTAACAGAATGACAGAACAGTAGCTCTGCAAAAAAAAAAAAAAAAAAAAAAATGTACATAGGAATTTGTACCAAACCCAGAGATGAATTGCGATAGCTAGTTACGAGTAATGCAAATGAGGGTCCATCGATTATTTGTAGAGTTCTTTTTTTAATTCTTGAGCACACAATGCTAATACGACGATCAGCTTATCTAAATGATGTTGTTACCCGTATGAAGTTATTCAGTTCTGCACAGATGGGATGTCACTGTTTATGCTTATAAATAAATGTCATCTATGACAAACAAAACGAAAACAGAAAAAATGCCATATCATTATGAAGCCCAGTCCCTCATGAAGTATCATTGTTACCCTCCCCTTGAACGTAAAGTACGGACAACTTCAAAGTAATGCACTACAGTGTATATAGCTGGTGCTGAATAGCCCATAACAAGTCAACTCATTTCCTTCTATTTCAGTTCAATATCAGTTAAAGAATCTTAATGCTATAATTCACATTGTTCACATTTTCTTCACTGCTATGATAATTTGTTAATTCATTTTACCTTCACCACACTCATTTACACTTGTTAATAGCGCCCAAGGCAGCGGCATAATGTTAATTACCTCCACCAAGAGAACCAAAGGTTCTAGCACTTGACCATTAAACATTGTCTTCTCTCCGCTGCCTGTTGTAAGTTTGCTCAAACACTCTGCATTACAACCTGGAAAACATTGAACAACTGTCAAATGCTACAGTCTATTCAACAGAAACTTTATTGCGCATTTCAGTCTCAATTCCTGCAGTCTTTCCACAGTCACTTATGATTTCCTCATGAAAGTAACTTAGAGGTGGATTTAGAAAGTCAGTGGCAAGATAATGCATGTAGGATACAGTTATTGGATAAAACTTTTTGTGCAATATCCAAGCTGCGTCTGAAATGCTCCACATAGAAAATTACCTATTAAAATTCCTGTCACTTTTTCCAGATTCTCTTGAATACTTTTCCAACGATCTTTAGAACTGGCATCTGTTGGTTGAGTTGACGAAAATAAGAGTAAATAGTCATTAACTACCACTGGAGGTTGGATTGAATACCCTACATAATGACTTTTAAGCTGTATTACAGTACAGAAATATGATAGACATATGGTTGATAGATAGATCCCTTAATATAAAAAGGCTGATTTGTAACATTTAAAGTAATGATTTACAAACACACTACAGTACGAGTTAGATGGAAATGCCATGTTCAGGAGAAAACCATAAGAAATTAAACGTATTACCACACCAATAACCTCAGTTCAATGCACTGTAATAAGCACAACTGGACATTTTTCATTTCAGTCCCTTCACCCCTTTTTTAGGTTCATTGGCCACATGCTCAGAGTGAATGCCAACCAACATCCCAAGATGGCATAAAACTGGTCCAGAAGAAACGAAAAGACCTGGAAGACCTGAAGAGACCTGGTGTAGAGCCACAGAGAAACAAAGGACAGCGCAGCGAGGCAGCAGTGGCTACATGTGACCGATCAAGTGGCATGGCAAAGAAAAATATCTGGCCAATTACTCCCTAGGGATCATGGATAAAAGTCTAGTCACGACCATTTTTTTTTTGTGTAGGTGCAGTAACAAAGACATTAACAGGAACCTTGCCATCAAAGTAAAAATACATGCACATCTTGTTCCCAGAACTCCTTGTGCTCGCTAATCAGGTGCATGATAAAACCTTTTAGTGATCACAAGTTCAAGGCCAGAGTTGACTTTGTTATGATACAAGCCCTACTACTATTCCAACGTAAATTATCTTTTTATCTAGACTTGCCACAAGTGGACCTTTGCTTAATCCTTCGCTGAATCATTGCCCTCAGGTAAGGTGAGAGCCAGGGGTGAGAGGGCAATCTGCTAACTAGTTATCAATCTTTATCATCACAAGGTCAAGCAAAACTTCTCTTTCATACATAGGCTCAGTTACATTTCACAGAACTGTAAAAATTATTGGTGTATTGGAGATTCTTGGGACAAGATTGGCATGAGACATGATAAGAGAATCACAGATCAGATAACACTTTAGAAAAGGTAACCTAATAATTAAACTTGTCCAAAGAAACCACCTCTACTCTAACACTAATAATTCTACAACTGGCAACCATTATATACACGTATGTCAACTATAGGAATCTTGTTGTGTTTATTTACTTGTTTTCAAGGCAGTTATATTCCTCAGTAAATTTGAAATATTTCCTCATAGTGAACACTAGGAGATGGATTGAGGACATCACTGGAACAACGCTGCCTTGAAAAAAGGGTTCTGTTGACATTTACTTTAAAGATATCATACAATTCAAACTAATTACGGCAGTTAGATCCTTAGACTTGCCACAAGTGGAGCTCCAAAGAAAGCCGAACTTGGAAAGCTGACAATGTCTGCAATGCTCAAAACTTGAGCATGAATTATGGGACTACCTACTATCGTGAAGGACTGAGAAAGTCTATCAAACCTGTTAACAGACACAACCTAATCTATCTCATAAGCAACAGTCACCATAGAAGTGCCTACATTCACAAGTTACCTGTATTAGGCATGTTGATTTAAAAAAAGATATACAAAACTGACAAAAGCCACTGTAAAAATGAGATGTTCGAATTTAGCAGGTGTACATAATACAGTAAGCTCATTCTACATTGTATTGAAAAGCCACATCCTTCAGTGAAAATAAGAACTATAATAGTGAAACTACATCACTGGGCCGGGTTCTTTAAAGCCTGATTAAGCTAACCAAGGATTGGCAAGGATTTAATTTCAGTTTTGTCACTTTTCAGTGAGGTTTTCTGTTTAAATGGTTTGTTCTTTAGTTTTGAGTCTGAAGAATCTTAAAGTACACTATACATAAGCAGTGACACTTTTACACAACAGAAATTAATGCTTCTGTTAACTTTTAATCCTGGGTTAACTTTAACTGGCTTCCGAACAACACGGCCCTGACGAGCAAAAAGGGCTTCCCTTTGTGATCTTTTTTGCCTATTGATGCTTAAGCAGAGATGTGCTTATCAACCTCAATATCTGAATTGCCAATTAATTAGCCCACCTTGTGGAGCATAATGCAGATGATGACACTCGTGGCACACGGTTAGCATGGCAACCAGCACAGCTCCATGTTGACCATCTAAAAAGCCTGGCAGCCTTGAGCATGGTGGACCCAGAAATGGCAGCTGTATAGAAATTATATTATAGAAAAGCGGAAATTGAAAGAAGCTCAACCAAAAAATTGCTTAAAATGTCATTGACCAATGATACCAAGTGTTTACAATCATCATTAGATTACAAAAAAACTACTTAAAATTTTTAAACTCAGACGTTAACAAGGTCTTGACGACTGTGTTCCTGGGCAAGACTCTTAACTCCAACAGCTAACCAGCCAGGTGTGTAAATTTTTTATCACGTATGTCTGTTATTAAAAGTAAATACAAATTACTCCAAACATAATAACAAATTATTCTGATCCCTTGAAATGGCCATTCTCCTTCTCACATGTTTTTGTATAGTTTGCATGGCAAACATTTCATGTTGTTCCATGAACTCAATGGGAGACACAGTGACCTTATGGTGAGCACACTGGACGGCACATTCAATGGTCCAGGTTCAAGACCTGGCAACATTCATCGGTTGTGTTCCTGGGCAAGACTCTTAACTCTAACAGCTAACCAGCCAGGTGTGTAAATGGGCACTACATTGTAGCAGGGACCTGTGATGTGACCCTATGATGAAATTACTCCTAATCACTTGATACTACAAACTGGTGTAAACTTTGGCAGTATAAGTCACCTGGCATGGGCCACTTACAAGAGTCTTGACAATGTAAGTCACTGTTTCTATACTGCCTTTCTTTTTCTTACCTTTGCTCTTGTTCCTGGATGCAAATCAACTTCCCGTAAAATCTCTTTTAATTCATTGACCACACCTTCCAAAGGAAACTCAGGGACAGCTTCTCCATTGTTCATGGTTTGCATATTTGATAGAGGTTTGGGTACCAAGGGGACAGCCATAGCCAGGGCTCTAAGGACAAGGAACCGCAATCTCAACCACAGAACCTAGATAAATATCAGATAAATATCAAATTATTAGCAGAATGCAAAGAGAACAGGAAGTCATGGGTGTCAGAGCTGGACTTTGCTCTTCATTTGAGATTGGTTTGGGAGATTGTAATTCAGGTGGAAAAAATATTTCAAGGGAAACCATTATAAATTGCTCAGTGGGATAATTAAAAGCTTGTTAGACTGAGTTTAAATTAACTTGGTCTTATGCTGTAATGCGAGGATAAGAATAAATGCAGTATGGATACAAAGGCTTGGACGAGAATGTGTAGAGTGAATAAAATAGCCTGAAGTGCCACAAGACTGGGTTCAATCCCACGTGCATGCAAATACCTTGAGCAGAAAATGAACAAAAAGTTTTATAATCATGCTTTATCAAGTTAACAATATCATTATTAAATGACAGGAAAACAGGCAAATGGAAGAGATACAACTCACTTCTTGCTCTACACACTTTGATTCTTGATCTTTTGACAGCTGCCTGCAAAGCAAACAAATTAATCTGTATCTACATTGTATTACACATAATTACAGTCACAACACAAATCGTTCCTGCTACAACTGAAGAAAGGGTTGTATTATTAGGTCACCATATCTCCCCAATCAAGATTGGAAACAGCAAAACATCACTTGCTTACTAAGTTAGTGTACATCACAGCAATGCCCACTTTTAACAACACAAGAAATTATCAATTCAATTCGAGGGCAACCCCCGCCAGCTAGGGTAAGAAGAGTAATAATACACCAAAGAGTGTTATTAAAGACTGCCATTTTGAAAGAAAACTGACTGAAGCCTTTCCTCAGTAAAGCTCTATTTATCCTCAGCTTTACAAAGCAAGATAGGAGTTGGATTTGGTTCATCACCGGAAAGGAAGTCATCATTTTAAGCCATGTTTCACAGGATAACAACAAATAGAATAGTGGTAGAGTGGACAGACTGTATTTAAAACCAACCTTTCTGGAGCATCCCATGTTTGAAGAATTCTCAGATCCCTGTTGTCCTTTAAGTCTTTCATCCAGTATTCTACAAATCAAACATATAAATTAAAAATGTATTACATAATGTATGAAAATCATTTTCTCACTATATACGTGTAATTCCAGTAATTAGACATTATACTTCTGTACAAGTCAGTTCAAATGTTTTAAGTTTCAAGCAGTAATGTACAAAATAATACTCAAATTGAGATTTTCATTTTAAGACCCCTTTTTAGTGCAGAGTGCACTATTGGGATGGTTGTGGGAGCTGCCTGCCGCTAAGAAAATAAGGCACTATGGCGCTATGGCCCTATGGCGCTATGGCACTAAGGTGTAAACTTTAATGTTTGTTTAATTAATTAATTTCAATTAATTAATTAGTCTAGAGGCAAGGAAGTAGTTGGGGTAGGGTGGGAAAGGTACATGTGTACTCTACGTAAAACACATTCCATCGCCGTCACTTAGCTTTGGACATCGCAAAGCTATATATTTGTTTCAGGTAACCCCTTGCTCTCCTTGTGGTACCATTCTCCTTAGAACAAAACTAATTTGCCCTAAA